ATATATATATATATTTCAGAGGAAATTCTAGATGAGAGCAAATGAGCCCAAGAGATATGATTTTTAGAACTGCTCCCATTTGTTCTACATAAGCCCAGATCTTGGTGCTGGGTAATGGTTTAAATACAAAAATTATTAAGGCACCTGAAGACTCATATCAGCTGATGCAGAGCCAAGTGAACAGAATCAAGAGAAAAGTCTACATAATGACTACATTAATATTAATGTAAAGAAAGGCAGCTGAATTCAGATTGTTGTTGTTCAGTCATTTTCATTTGTGTCCAACCCTTTGTGACCTCATTTAGAGTTTTCTTGGCGAAGATACTGGAGTGATTTGCCATTCCCCTCTCCAGCTCATTTTGTAGATGAGGAAACTGAAGTAAACAAGGTTAAGTGACTTGCCCAGGGTCATACAGCTAAGAAGTATCTGAGGTCGGTGAGCTCAGGTCTTATTGCCTCCAAACCTGGTGATTTATCTACTGCACCATTAATTGTTCCTGGAAAATAAATGACAAGGCACACTTCCCTCCTCTAAATAGAATGGTAGAGGACTATAGTACACTGTAAGATATGATGGTTGTTTTGTTGGTTTAGATTTTTTGGTTTTACTTCAGTGTTTTTCTCTGTTATAAAGAAGGGTTCACTAGGTGGGAAGCTGAGAAGAATATCAGGAAATGACTGTGATGTGAAAAACAAAAACTTTAGGAAAAAAAAAGGAAAAAGCGCAGATCATGCCAGACTAATGTCACTAACTTTGTTGTCATTGCTCCACTCTAGACCGTCATGGTCTATCATTTGAACAGTTATAGTGGCCTCCTGACCAGTTGCCCGACTTCTACTGTGACTCCAGATTAGGGATAAGGACAGGAACTGGGCTTGTGATTTGTGGGTATAGAGAACTCCCTAGGTGAGGAAACTCCCTCTGCCAAAGCAGGTTTGCACCTTCTCTGCAAATTAGAGATGCCTACAGAGTTGAAGTGACCTGCCCAGGGTCACACAGCCAGTATGTGTAACACTTGAACCTGTTTTCTCAGGTCTGAAGTGAGTTCTCTATCTACTACCCCAGCACATAATAAATGCTGTCTCTGACACAAGGTTAATCCTCCTATAGCCTAGGCCTAATCATGATGCTCCCCTGCTCAAGAATTTTCAGTGGTTATTGCTTACTGAAAAAAGTTCAAACTTCTTAATTAATGTTTGGCAGTCAAGACTTTCTCCAAATTTATTTCCACCCGATCTTATGCCCCATTATTTCCATAAGGACTGCTATGAAGTTTCTAGGATTCTCCTTCTCTCACTTGGTCCAGCTGGGACTTAATCCATAAACCACAAAGGTCCTTTCCTGTGGTAGAGGATGTGGGGTAGATACAGTTGATAGTGTAATTGACTAAATAGTAGATAATCAAAATGCTGGTCCCAACTTTGTTCCTTTTTCAACATATTTCTTGCCTGGGCCATAGGATCCTTGTATAGGGGGGAGAACACTAATTCTGTATTAGAGGACCTGAATTCAAATCTCACCTCTAATATTTACTACTTTTGTGACCTTGAGTGAATAATACAGTCTTCCTGGACCTCAGTTTCTTCATCTGGAAAATGAAAGGGTTAGACGAGATGGCCCCTTGCCATTCTAGACCTATGATTTAGAAGGGATCTCTAAGGACTAGTTCCTGAATATGAGTAACCCAAACAGCATCCCAAATAAGAGGTCACTCGCCATCCACTGGAAGACCTCTAGTGACAGGGAGCACACCTAACTCATGAGTTGGGTAATTACCTCTTTGTTCAGCAGATGGTATAGTGGGTGGAGCACTGGACTCAGAATCAAGATCTGAGTTAAAATCCTGCCTTGGACACTTATTTGTTGTATGATCCTGGGTCACTCACTTATCCTCTCCCAACCACAGTTGTAAAGTCGATCAGTCAATAAACATTTATTAAGTGCTATTCCATGCCAGACGCTGTGCTAAGTGCTGAGGATCCAGAAAGAGGCAAAAGATAGTCCCCGGGCTTGAATAAACTTACAATCTAATGCTAATGATAATACCTATCTCACAGGGTTGTTCTGAAAGTCAAATGAGATAATCAGTCAATCAAACAATATTTATTAAGTGCCTACTATGTACTAGGCACTGTGCCACATGCTGGGTATACAAAAAGAGGCAAAAGCCAATCCCTGCCCTTGAGGAGCTTACAATCTAATGGGAGAGACAACATGCAAACAAATACACACAAAACAAGTTATATACAGGATAAATAGGAAGTTATTAACAAAAGGAGGGCACGAGAATTAAGAGGGGGTTGGGGAAGACTTCCAGTAAAGAAGGGATATTAGTTGGAACTTAAAGAGGTCAGTAGGCAGAGGGGAGGAGGGAGAACATTCCAGACATGGGAGATAGCCAGAGAAAACACCTAGAGAGAGATAGTGTCTCATCATTATGGAATGACCAGGAGACCAGTGTCATTGGATCAAACAGTACATGTTGGGGAGTAAGGTATAAGAAGACTGCCAAGGTAGGAAAGGCTTTAAACATCAAACAAAGCTTTTTGTACTTGATCCAGGAAACAATAGGGAGCCACTGGAGTTTATTGAGTAGGGGAGGTGACGTGGTTGGATCTGCACTTTAGGAACAGTAAATGGCTTTGCAAATCTTAAAGTCATGAATAATTGCTAATTATTAATTATTATTATCATTATCAGTTTTATTATCCTTTCATTGAACTGAAATCTTCCTCTCTACAACTTCTACCCATTGTTCCTGGTCTTGCTTTATATAGCAAAGTGGAACAAGGCTAATCCTTTTTCCATGACAACCCTTCACACACTTGAAGATAGTTATCATGCTTCCCCTAAATCTTTTCTCCAGGATAAACACCCACAAGACTTTCAACCAGTTTTTGTAAATATGGTCTCCAGCTCTCTCATCATACCTCTCTGGATGGGCTCCATCTTGTCAATGTCCTTATTAAAATGAAATCTCCAGAACTGAACAAAATACTTCATATGGAGAGTGATCAGGGAAGGTTACCAGGATTATCACCTCCTTATTTTGGGAAATGGCACCTCCAACAACACTGGCCAAAATACCAAGGTTGCATTAGCTGTCTTGGCTCCATTTCATACTATTCGCTCAACATGAAATTATAATCCACTAAAGTCTATCTTCATGTGGAATGGAATGGCATGTGATGCTACCATCCTATCCTCTACTTGTACAGTCTGTTGGGGGAAAAAAAAAACAAAAGAAAATATGTATATCAATTGAGTTTAAGTTTTCATTCAAAAACCCCACAAAAGGTACCCCTAGCTCTACAGAAGAAGAAAGGGGTTCCATATGCACAAGAATAGTTATAGAAGCTCTTTTCCTGGTGGCCAAGAATTGGAAACTGAGGAGTTGCCAATCACCTGGGTAATGGCTGAGCAAGTTATGGTATATGAATGTGATGGAATACTACTGTGCCGTAAGGAATGATGAAGGGGATGGCTTCAGAAAAACCTGGAAAGACCTGTATGAACTGATGCAAAGTGAAACCAGGAGAACGATCTAAACAGTAACAGCAATATTGTAAAGATAATCAACTTTGAAAGATTTAGTAACTGATCAACAAAACAACCAACCACAATTCCAAAGAGCTCATGATGAAACATGCTATCTATCTCTAAATAGAAAACTGTTGGACTCAGAATGCAGAAGAATATTTTTCTCTTTCCTTTTCTTTCTTTTTATTTTTTTGAACATTGCTAATGTGAAAATATGTTTTGCATGACTTCATATTTGTAATGAGTTTTGTTTTTCTTGCTTTCTCAGATGGGAAGGGGGAAGGGAAGAAAGAGATTTTGGAACTGAAAAAAAAGAATCAAAAGTCTGTGCTTTTAAAAAAACTGATCTTTAATTTTTTTCCAATTACATGTAAAAATAATCTTTAGCGTTCTTTTTTAAAATTCTGAGTTCCAAATTCTCTCCCACCTAACCTTCTCTCCATCCTCCCTCATTGAGAAGGCAAGCAATTTGATATAGGTTCTACATTTGCAGTCCTGCAAAACATATTTCCATATTAATCATGTTATGAAAGAAAACACAGATTCTTCCCTCCCCATAAAAAAGAAAACCCACCAAGAAAAATTAAGAATGTTAAAAAAAAGTATGCTTCAATCTTCACTCAGACTCCATCCATTCTTTCTTTGGAGGTGGATAGCATTTTTCAACATGAGTCCTTCAGAACTGTCTTGGATCATTATATTGCTGAGAATAGCTAAGTCATTCACAGTTGATTACCATTACAATATTGCTGTTACTGTGTACAATGTTCTTCTGATTCTGCTCACTTCACTTTGCGTCAATTCATGTAAATCTTTCTAGGTTTTTCTGAAAGCATCCTGCTTGTCATTTCTTATAGCACAATCATATGCCACAACTTGTTCAGCCATTCCCCAATTGATAGTCATCTCCTCAATTTCCAATTCTTTGCCACCACAAAAAGAACTACTACAAATATTTTTGTACATACAGATTATTTTCCTTTTCAAAAATTTTTTTTGGTATACAGACCTAGTAGTGGTATTGCTGGATCAAAGGATATGCACAGTTTTATAGCCCTTTGGGCATAGTTCCAAATTGTTCTCTAGAATGGTTGGATCAGTTCACAGCTCCACCAATAGTGGATTAGTGTCCAAATTTTCCCATATCACCTCCCACGTTTGTCATTTTCCTTTTCTGTCATATTAGCCAATCTGATAGGTGTGAGTGGTACCTCAAAGTTGTTTTCATTTGCATTTCTCAAATCAATAGTGACTTAGAGCATTTTTTCCTGTGACTATAGATAGCTTTGATTTCTTTGTCTAAAAAGAAATGCCTGTTCATGTCCTTTGACCATTTATCAGTTGGGAAATGAAAGTCTCTATGCTTTTAAAAAATAATAATAATGCTCACACACACACACACAAACACACACACAAACACATACACACACACACAAAGGTCAGATAAATTGTAAATGAATTTCAGAATCAAAAAGAAAGTTTATTCAAAAGCTTCCTGCCTTTATTTCCGTGCTCATGATAGTTTTTATTTCTTCCAGCTTGAGTTTCTTGATTTCCAAGGAGTATTTCAGTTCCTCTAATGTCTTTCCTCTTTCTTTTTGACACCGCATCAACCTTTGTACAGTTTCACAAATGTTGTTCCTTTCCTGAAATGTACAGTTAGGAAAGAAGGCAATATTACAATGCTGGGAAGATAGTGGGGCTCATCACTCAAATGGAACAGTTAATCACTAGGATAGGTAGGTGGGGCAGTGGATAGAGTGCCAGACCTGGAGTCAGGAAGACTCATCTTCAGGATTTCTAATCTAGCCTCAGACACTTACTAGCTGTGTGACCCTGGGCAAGTCACTTCATCCTATTTGCCTCAGTTTCCTCAGCTGTAAAATGAGCCAGAGAAGGAAATGGTAAATCACTCCAGTATCTTGGCCAAAAAAACCCTAAATGGGATTATGAAGAGTCAGGCATGACTGAAAAAAACAACTGGACAACAATAACACAATGACTAGTGAATGAGAACCCCCTTGAATGAGGACTCAGAAGTTCAGGAGCTCTCAAAGGGATTGTCGTTATTGTCACATAATAAGAGAGCTGTAAGGAACCTTGGAGAGCACCAAATCCAATCCTTTTATTTTAGGTGGGGAAAATGCAACCCAAAGAGAAGGGGCTTGCTCAGGCAGGAGGAGTGACTTCCTCAGACAAGTAAGAAGAAAATCTATAAGGGAAATTGCTCTGGTCATTAAAAAAAAAAATTAACTGAAATTAGCTGAAGTCTCCATGAAAACAAAATGCCTTTCATTCAGAGTTCCTGCACTGTCCAGATGTCTTTGTGGAAGTGGAGTATGGTGGAAAGAGTGTAAAATTTGGGGTCAGAAGACCTAGGTTTGAATCCTGCCACTTATTGCCTGTGTGACCTTAGGAAGACCTTGGATTTCTCTGGGCCTTAGTTTACTCACATGTAAAGTGATGGAGTTGGAAGAGATGACCTCTAATGTCCCTTCCAGCTCTAATTCTATGATCTTATGATCAGTCTATCTGTGGTATCACTTAGACTGTAAGCTTGAAGGGGATTTACAAGTTTCGTGTTAGTGACAGCAATGCCCACATATATTAGGATGGTGGAAATGTCCTCGGAAGTGCCAGGAAGAACAGAAACACCTCAGAAGCAAGAAACGCTAGGCTTTTTTAGATAAAAGGAAACTTCACAGTACCCATGGGAAGTTAGGTTTTCATTCCAAATTTGGTCTCATGGCTTTGCACTTAGGGATGGAAAAACCACAACATCCCAAACCCTAATTGCCATAAAAGCACCAGCGTACATCTTGTTCTGCCTTGGTGGTGGGGATACTCATGAAAAGGGAGACCTAGAAACCCCGGGTTGCAGGGATTGCTCTATGTTCGAGTCCGTGTATCCACAAGCACCACTATGCCCAAAGACAACGAGGCTGAGCTGTTACTTACTGACTCCTTCTCAGCTTCCACTGGAGCCTCTGTGGTGGCTTCTGAGATCTCTTCGCAAATGGGGGGTTCATCACTCCATTTCCCATCCATGCACTGCAGACTCTGGGCCCCTATTAACTGGTACCTGGACCAAAAATGAAATGACAGCCACACTTAGTGACAGTGGGGGCCTCTGCATCCTTTGGGGTACAGAGTAAGGTCTGCAGGAGGTCCCCCTGTACCCCACATACACAATTGTAGATGGTTTTCTGGAAGGAATAAGCATTGATATAGCACCAACTGTGTGCTAGGTACTGGACAAAACACTTTACAAATACTATCTCATTTGATCTTCACAACAACCCTGGGAAGTAGGTGTTATTATCCCCATTTTACAGTTAAGAAAACCGAGGTTAAGGACTTGCTCAGTTTTACAATGTTGCTGTTACTGTTTAGCTTGTTCTCCTAATTATGCTCATTTTGCATCAGTTCATACAGGTCTTTCCAGGTGTTTCTGAAACCATCCCCTTCATCATTCCTTACAGCACAGTAGTATTCCATCACATTCACATATCATAACTTGCTCATCCATTACCCAGTTCATTGGAATTTCCTCAGTTTCCAATTCTTGGCCACCAAAAATAGAACTTTTATAACTATTCATGTGCATATGGAACCCCTTTCTCCTTCCATAGAGCTAGGGGTTATTTTGGGGGAATTTTCAAATGAAAATTTAAACCCAAGTCAAAAATTTGGCATAACCTGAACCCAGGTCTTCCCAACTCCAGGCCCAGCACCACCTGGCTGTCTCTCCTCTGTATTATATTTAATGCATATTTAAGGCATTTAGAAGAGATCCTTGGCCTAAGGCACTGGAATTACAGGTCTCAGAAAGCTATTCAGCTGCTAGGATAGGCTTGAGCAGTCAGTGAAGTTACTCAAGACATAATTGTCATCTCTCCTCTGGAAATAAAATAGGATCTAGTAGTTTCCTTAGTCAAGAAATGAGAACTTAATGGAGCCCCAAAGGGGCCCTTTGAAATAGGAAGAGAGGGGGCAGCTGGGAGGCGCAGTGGATAGAGCACCAGCCCTGAAGTCAGGAGGACCTGAGTTCAAATCCGGCCTCAGACCAAACACTTGACACACTTACTGGCTGTGTGACCCTGGGCAAGTTACTTAACCCAACTGCCTGAAAAAAAAAAAAAGAAAAGAAACAGGAAGAGAGAAGAAATCTGCTTCTGGTTCCTGAATGGAGCTGATCTAATGCAATCCGATTCAAGGGTAAGATGGAGCCCACTCTTCAAATAGCTGACCTTTATATAGCACCTGAAGGCTTAGAAAGTGCTTCACACAAATATATCAAATTTAGGCCACACAACAACACTATGAGGAAGGTACTAGATCTTCATCTGAGGTTCATGAACTTGTTTTTTGGTTTGTTTGTTTTTTTTCATGAACTTGTTTTTAAAAAAAATTTAGATAACTTTATTTCGATACAGTTGGTTTCCTTTGGAATCCTATACATTTGATTTAATGCATTTAAAAACATTATTCTGAAAAAGGCTCCATGGGCTACACCAAACTACCAACAGGGTCTAGGACACAAAGAAAAGATCAGATCCCTTGGACTAGAGGTGTCACTATACCCATTTTACAGATAATGAAACTGAAACTGTATTCCTATCCTTGTAGTCTCCCGGGCTCAATACTTGGGCAACATCCTTGACCCCTCACTCTCTTTCACTCCAGATAGCCAATCAATTGACAAATCTTTCTGTTTCTCTGCTCCAACAGCTTCTCTTGCATCTAACCCCTTCCCTCCATATACTTTAGTTCACACCCACATCACCCTTTGCTTAGGTTATTGCAATAGCCTCTTTAAAAAAAAAAAAAGATTTATTTGGAGGCAATCAACATTAAGTGACTTGCCCAAGGTCACACAACTAGTAAGTGTTGGGGGTCAGATTTGAATTCAGATTCTTCTGACTCCAGGACTGGTGCTCTATCCACTGCACCACCTAGCTCCCTACCAATAGCTTCTTAATTGGTGTCCCTGCCTTCAGTGACTCCCAGCTCTAGCCCATCCCCTACACTGTTCCTAAACTTCAGGACTGTATGAGTTTGGCAGTTATGATACACAAAGTCATAAAGAAACTGATGGATGAAGCAATTAAAAGTACAAAACCAAAATAAACAGCTAGCATATATTTTTCAAAATGGATTTGTAAAAGTTGTATTTGTTAAAGTGTTCATATATCTTTTATACTAAATAACCAAATATCAATGCTAAACTTTTTTAAAAGGCAATTTTCCTTAAATACACATCTCACCATGTAATCTCCTACTTAATCAACTACATTTGCTTCCTATTGTCTCTAGGATAAAATATACATTCTTCTGTTTACCTTGTAACGCCCTTCACAATCTGGCCCCGAACTTTCTTTCCAGTCTCGTTGGACATTACTCTTTCTCCTACACTCTGATCCAGCCAAAACAGCCTTCTCTGTGTTCCTGGAACACAACACTCCATCTCCATCCTTTGCACTGGCTGTCCACCATGCCTGGAATGCACTCCCTCCCCCTCCCAGAGCCTCTCTTCCTTCAACATGGAGCTCAGACATCACCTCCTGTAAGAAGCCTTTCCTGATCCCCACAACTACTAGTGCCTTCCCAAAAGACCTTATATTTAACAACTTTGTTGATGTTTATTTTTTTATTATCTTTGTATTTATGCTGTGTAAGTTTTGTTTGTATTTATCTCCTCTACTAGAATGTAAGCCCTCTTACATTGGAATGTAAGAGAAAGGCTTATTTTATTCTTTGTATTTTTTCATAGTCTTTATCCCTAATGGCTAATTTGTTGTTGTTCAGTCATTTCGGTTGTGTCTAACTCTTCGTGACCCCATTTGGGGTTTTCTTAACAAAAATGCTGGGCTGGTTTGTCATTTCCTTCTCCAGCTCATTTTACAGATGAGAGAACTGAGGCAAACAGGGTGAAGTGACTTGCCCAGGGTCACACAGCTAGTAAGTGTCTGAGGCCAGATTTGAACTCTTCCTGCCTCCAAGTCTATCACTCCATCCACTGCACCACCTAGCTACCTTTTGAGAGGTAGTCATTTTCCCCTTGGAGGTCTTCAGGCAGAGTCTGGATGACCATAGTCATCTATGTTATAGAAGGAATTCTTTTTGTGTATGGGTAACAGAATTAATTGACCTCTGAAATCCCTTCCAACCTTCAAAATAACCCAGCATATTTTTTTCTGATATATAGTAGGTAATTAGTAAATACTTGATGACCGATTGATTAGGTGACTTATCCAATTGTCACACAGCTAGTAAATGATGGAGGAAGGATTTGAAACCAAGTCTCTTGACTCCAAGCCCATGGCCCTCAGAAGACATCATTGAGACAAGAGGGAGGAACCAGTGCCTAGGTCATTGGTAAGCTATACCAGCCAATCAGAAATATGAACACAATGAAGATTATAAACCTCTCCCTAAACTTGTCTGTGTTCTTTGATATATAACTTCTTTTTTTATCTTCCCTTACCTTTTTTTTTTAGGCAATTAAGGTTAAATGACTTGCCCAAGGTCACACAGCTAGTAAGTGTCAAGTGTTCAGTCTGAGGCCGGATTTGAACTCAGGTTCTCCTGACTTCAGGGCTGGTGCTCTATCCACTGTGCCACCCAACTGCCCCACCCTTACCTCTTAATAAAACACTGTTTAAAAAGTTTTATGATTTGGAAATGGTTAAGAAAAAGAAAAGGTGATAGGTGGAACAAAGTAGCAAATGAACTTAGTAGCTCATGTTTGATAAATTCCAAGACCTGAACTATTGAACTAATAAGAACTTCCTATTAGACAAAAACTTAAGGAAAAACTAGAAAGCAGTCAGGCAGAAACTAGACATAGAACTATATCTCACATGATAGATCCTAAGGTCGAAATGGATACTAGACTCAGACATAAAGAGTGATGTCACAAACAATTTAGAGGAGCAGGAAAGACATTACCTTTCAGATCCATGGATAGGGGAAAATCCATGACACAGCAAGGTATACAGAGAATTATGGAAAATAAAATATACAATTTTGATTTTATAAAATTTTAATGCTTTTGCACAAACAAATACAACGCAATTAAAATTAGAAAGGAAGCAGGTTTTTACCTTTGGCAAAAAATCTTTCCAGCAAGTTTCATTGATAGGGGTCTTATTTCCAAGATTTACAAGGAACTGATTCAAATTCATAAGAGTAAGAGCCATTTCCCAAGTGAGAAATGTCCAAAGATATGAATAGTCAATTCTCAAAGGAAGAAATCAAAGCTATCAATAGTCATATTATAAAGTGCTCCAAATCACTAATAATCAAAGAAATGGAAATGAAATTAACTCTGAGGTTCTATACCATGTCTGTCAGGTTGGCAAGGTTGACAAAAAGGGAAAATGATAAATATTGGAGGGGATAGAGGAAATAGGTACATTGATCCATCCTTGATTAAGCTATGAATTGGCCTGACCATTCTAGAAAACAATTTGGAACTATGCCCTCAAAAGTATTACACTATATGTACATATCCATTAATCCAGTGATACCACTACTTGGCTTTAACCCCAAATGCATTAGAGAAAAATGGAAAGAACCCACATGTATAAAAACATTTATATTAACTCTTTTTGTAGTGACAAAGAAAGGAACAATGCCCACCAAATGGGTAATGGCTAAACAAATCATGTGAATAAATGGAATGCTATTTTGCCATAAGAAATTATGAAAAAGTTTCAGAGAAACCTCAGAAGACTTGTATAAACCGATGCATAGTGAAGTGAGCAGAACAAGGAAAATGATTTATATAATAACAATAACACTGCAAAAATAAACAGCTTTAAAAAGCTTAAGAACTATGATCAATGCCATGAACAGCCATGATTCCAGAGGACTCATGATGAAGTATGTTCACTACCTCCTGATATAGAAGTGATGGTTTCAGGGACAGGTTGGGACATGTTTTTGGCATGGCTAGCATAGGAATGTCTTATTTGACTGTGCATATTTCTTACAAGGGTTTTTGGTCTTTATTTTGTTTTTTAATGTTTGGGAGAGGGTGGGAGAGGAATAGAAAATTGAACTTGTTAACTAAGAAATAAAATTTAACTAAAATATATAAAGAGTTTATCTGGGTGGAATTTAGAGGGAGTGAGATTTTTTTCCATATCTTAATTGGAACAGATAATCAGATTGCTGTTCCACTAAGTATAGAGAGCTATGAAGAGGGGTGCAAATGGACCAGACCAGCTCTAGGGCCAGGAAAAGAGCAGAAAGAGTTGAGACAGAGAAAGTAAGAGTTCCAAGGGATAAAGATGAGTCCATGTATGGACTTCATATTTCTCCTTGGGCCATCCCTTCACAAATTCCAGGTGGATGAATCTTGACAGGACACAGATAAATAATGCTTGGGGACCTGATGCTCCTGTTTCCTGGGAGAACCAGCATGGAATAGAGGAAAGCAAATTGCTTTAGGAGTTAAGAGAAGACCTGAATCCCAGTTCTGGCTCTAACACTTAAGGGACATGTGACCAAACTTGTGAAAGTCACAGTACTTTTCTAGGGCTCAGTTTACTCATTTGTAAAAATGGGGGTAATGGGACTCATATTGCCTAATCCACAAGATTGTTATGAAGATAGATCTCTATAAAAAACAAACAAACCACAAAGTCTTAAGTACTATAGAAATGAAAGTTTATTAATGTTATCATTGGCCATAATAGGATAGGATCCTGATGTCTGACTCACCCGACATCACAGTAGAAGGTAATGTTTGACCCTGAATTGAAGTCTCTTGCTTTAAAATGACCATGCTTTGGCCTTTTGAGAGATTTGCATTGTCCTTGGGGAAAAAAAAAGGTCGCCAGAGTAAACATTACAGCAAGCTATAAAAGGTAGTTCTAGGCACAGGGGCTACCCAGCTTCATCACCCTCACTTTCCTAAATCTTCATTTGTGAGCAAAAAAGTGTTCTTTATTGTCTCCCCTTTAATCCAAAAATCAGTTTTTTTATGCATTAGAACTCCTTCCCAAAAACTCATTGTGTGGATTTGGAGCTGTATCCAACCTGGCTAGTGCAAGCAGAAGGGAAGCAGAAACCCATTACAGAGGCAATTAATAGCTATTCATTCATTAACTTATTCAATTATCAAACATTTATTGAGCATATATACTTCAGAAGTAATCACTTGGGACAGGAGATTGTGATAGATGCAATCCTTTGAAAGAAGAAGTTCTGGTAAGAACTTGGGGTGAGAAATACTCCAAAATAGGGGAAAGAATGATAGACTGGAAATCAGGAGATTTTGACTATAGTTCTGGGACTGTTACTTATTAGCTATGTGATCTTAAGAAAGCCTGAGCCTCAGTTTCCTCATCTGTAAAAGTGAAAGTGGTGAGTGCTGGGAGAAGGTGAACTAGATGATGTCTGAGGCTATTTCCAGAGTTTTAAAACTTGTGACTATATACTGGTCAGAATTGGAGGTTTAGCATTGACTGGGGACTAGGTTGGCTAAGCAGATTGTGATTCAGAAACGTATGGAATTGCAGATTCACAGAATCTGATTTTTGGAAGATACTTCAAGGCCATCCAATTCAACCCATACATGAAAGAAATCCAACTGTAACATACCCAGCAAGTGGTCATCCATTTCTGCTTAAAGGAGGGCAGAACCTATCTCTTCTATCATTCTCACTTTGGTATATTTCTGTTCCATAGAAAAGGATTAATACAGAAAAAGCTTATGAATGGATGCTAAGATGTAAAGAAAGAGGAACCAGGAAAACAATATACACAAGGGATACAACCGTGTAAATGGAAGTAACGACAAGCTAAATGCCATGTAATTACAATAACCAAGCTCAGTCCCAAAGAAGAAATGAAAAAAATACATCTGCCTCCCTTCCTTGCCTCTTTACTGACGTGTGAGACAACGGGTGCATAACACCGAATACATGGCCAGACTTAGTTGGATATGTTGGTTAGTTTTACTAATTTCCCCCCTCTATTTTCTATTTTTTTTTAAACAGGGGATGGCCGAGTAGTTGAGAAGAAGGGAATATATTTGGAAGTGAAGATGATATAAAAACAAAACATACAGTAAGGTTTTAAAAGCTTAGAAACTCAGCTAAGGGATGTGAGCAGTATGTTATGTGCACTCCCAAATAAAGGAAAAGATAAGGCATTACTGCAAAAAGTCAGGGGTCCCTAAGGCATTACTGTAAGAAGTCAGGAGTCCCTAACTCAGTCAGGGTTCAGGTCATTTAAAGGAGAGTTATTCTGACTGATCTGAACCTGAGGTGGAGGAGTTGGGACCCAGACAAAAAGACTCCTGTTTCTCTATGGATCTACAGAGCTGAGCAAAAGAACTCCACTTTGGTATGGGGTTAATTAACAAGAAAAAGACCTCAAGTGTTCAGGTTAGAGTCAGCTTCTGTTGTTGACCAAAGTGGGAATGGATAATTGAGTGTCTGAGAGAAGTGGAGTAATTCTTTGGGCCTGGCACAAGTTAGTTGGACTGAGAAGACTTGGAATTAATACTATTTGTACCCGGAGATGCTCTCACACTGTAGTAAAAAATGTTTGTTCCTACATACTGCCTGGGTATCTATTGTATGTAGTAAGTACATTGCACATGTGGGAAAGGGGCACCCCTAGAGAAAAGACAAGCTACCAATCCAAGGGGTACAGTCTTTGAGGGGAGAATTTCCATTTTCTTGGCCCCTGTGTTGGGGTAGTAGAAAGTTACCCAAGAGAAGTAGGGATGGAAACTCAGCCAAGAGAGCCTGTTTGCAAACTTTCTATCACATACACTCTCTCTGATTACTCTGAGACTGAATGCCTGCTTAGTTCCTTAGACAACCATTGTTCACCTTCCTAGATGTAAGGTAAAAGAGAGTGTCATGGCACATGGCAGGTATCCAATCCTTAGCGAATACCCAGATAGACACCCCTATCCCATAGCCATGTTATTAGGGCTCAGTGTTGACTCTCTTGAACTTACCTGTTATACAGATGGGAAGGGGAGGTATCCAGGTGTGGTCCTTCTGGCACTGGCTCCAATTACTGCCCTTCAGGATGTAGTCAGTATCACATTTAAAGGTGACCACTTCCTCCTCAGAAACAGGCTCCAGCTTTGAGGAATTCAGTTGACCATTAACCAACACAGGGTTAGGACAGTGACCCACTAAAGAAGGAAACAGTCAAAGGCTGTGAAATTGTTATACCAAGGGGAGGGAGAGAAGAGACTAAGGTCAAGGCATCTAGCCTCTTTGGGAGCAAGATGGAAAACAATAGGGAATAGCTATTCAAGTTCAGTATGAACAAGAGCAAGAATGTACCTAGGGTCAAAAAGTAAGCAGCAGAGAAGTAGAAGGAAGGAAAGTCTAGCTCTGCAAAAATAAGGGAGAAAAGGCCCTGCTAGTCTTAGTGGATCACCCAGTGAATATAAATTAGTAACTATAGCTACAATTAAAAGAAATTGAACAAAATATTTTCCAATATCTCAACACTGACCAAAGTAGAATTGGCATCTTGCTATGTCTGCACTGATATACTTTTGGAGTCCTGTTGACTGGTTATGTTTTTAATGATGATAATAACAACATTAATATAGCAGTTTATAAAGCTAAAAAATTTCTCTTCACAACAACCTTGTGAAGTAGTGTAAATATGTCCCCATTATACATACAAAGAAATAACAATAGCTAATAGTTGACATTTATATAGCACCTACTATGTGCCAGACACTATGCTAAATACTTTAGAATTACCATTTCATTTGATCCTTACAACAACCCTAGGAAGTAGGTGCTATCATGATTCCCATCTTACCAATGAGGAAACTGTGGTAATCAGAGGTTAGATGATTTGTTCAATGTTACCCAGCTAGTAGGTGTAAACTGAGCTTTGGAAAGATTTAGTGACTTGTTGCTCTTAGACCTCTAGAATTAAATGTCACATAGGCACCTCCATCTCAACATGTTCAAAACAACTCATTATCTGACTCTCTTCACTTTGCTACCATGTAAAATTAGCTACTTTCTTCCTCCATTTCTAACTCTGGGGGCCATTTCCAGTTGTCCTGATCTGTATCTGGCCACTGGACCCAGATGGCTCCAGAGGAGAAAGTGAGGCTAGTGACTTTGCACCACCTTCCCTCACTTAAATACAATTCACTTGCAAGTCATGGCATCACCTTCATAACATCATGGTCCTCTTTGAGAACAATGGACAAACAACAACATCTTCCTCCACTCTGCCAGTACTCTTCTCCCAGTGGTGACTTCCTCTCTGGGTTTCCATTTAGGGGAAGGGCTCAAGCCAGTCATCCCTCATTCCCGTCCCAGTTCTTCTATGGACTCTCTACACCTGGACATGGTACCTCTACACAGGTAACTTCCTGTCTCCCTACCTTTCTGCTCCCTCTTGTGTTTTATTTTTTCCGTATTAGAATGTAAGCTCCTTGAGGGCAGGAAATTTTTTTTTTTTGCTTATGTTGTATGTACTTAGCATAGTACCAAACACTTAGTAAATTATTAATAAATGTTAGTTGCCTTACCCCCAAAACCTTCTACTCTCTGTATTTCCCTATTACTGATGAAGGCACTACCATACTCACTGTCACTCAGGCTCACAACCTTAGTGTCATTATTGACTCCTTGCTTACATTCACTCCACACATCTCACCTATTGTTGAATCTTATTGCCTCTACCTTCACAGGATATCTTGCAAATGTCCCTTTTTGTCTATAGCCAGACCTCTTGTTCTGACCTTCATCACCTTGCACCTGAACTACTGCAGTGACCTGCCTCAGGCCTTCCCCTCCCTCAAGTCTTTCCCCACACCAATATATCCTCCACTCTTCGGCCAAAAAGATTTTCCTAAAGTATAGGTCTTACCATATCAACTCCCTTCTCAGCAAGCTCCAGCAACAACTCCTTGCCCTCAGGATTAAATCTAAAGCCCTCTTTTTGGCATTTAAAAACCTTCATAACCTGGCCCATTTGGATTTTTCCAGTTTTTTAATGCTTTACTCCCTCCACTCACTTTATGCTCCAGTGTCACTGACCTCTGTGCAGTTCCTGGAACACAACACTCTGTCTCCCATTTGTGTGCTCTCACTGGCTATCTGCCACGTCTAGAATACTCTACCCCCTCACCTCTGTCTCTTGACTACCTTCAAGACTGCTCAAAGTCCACTGTCTAAAGGAGGGTTGTCCCAGGGCCCTCAGCTGCTAATGCCTTCCCCTTTCAGATTACCTTTCATTTGCTATGTATATGTTTAATTGTAGACTCTTTGAGGGAGGTGAAAGAACTAGGGTTTTTTTTTTCTTCTTTTTTTCTATGCCCAGCACACTAAGAGTTTAACAAATGCTTATTGACCTAGTTAGTAATATGTCACAACTAAGACTCAAACTCAGGGCTTGTGACTCCATGTTTGGTGATTGTTCTGCTCTGTCATTCTGTTATTTTTGTTATCTGTATAGGCATAGAATCAGTATGGTGTAATAGAGCTTGGAGTCAGAAAGATCTAGGTTCAAAATGTGCCTTTGACACTTTACTAGCTATGGGAGCCTAAACAAGTCACTTAACCTCATTGGGCTTTAGACAACTCCCTGAAATATATTTCCTAAGTCACTGAAGAATGCTATCTACATTGAGTCTGCCTTTGTCAAAAGAGTTCCCCAACCTGATGAAATCACAGCTCCTTGGGTGTTCACCTAGACAAAGAAAAACTGGAGAGGGAGCCAGGAAGAGTAACAGATGACTATGAGGTCTAAACTAGGTCATAAGGAAGAAAGGTTTAAGGAGACTTCTAAGACCTCTTCCAGCTTTAAATCTATGATCTTAGATTCTTATGGAGTTGGTATCATTTAAATAAGTTTACTCTAGTTTGGGTTCTACCATCATTTCAGTCATCTTGGAGACATCCACAAATCTTCACTCTCTCCAACCCTGTTCCGCCCCTGATAACCAATCAGCTGCCAAGTTTGCTAATTCTGCCTCTGTTACATCTCTCACATTTGTCCCTTTCTTTCCACTCATATGAGTGCCAACCTTCATCAACCAGAGCTTCATCATCCCTCACCTGGACTACAGCAACAGCCTCCTAATTAGTCCTCCTGCCCAAATCTCCTGCCCCCCCAATCCATCCTCCACACAGTGACCAGGGAGCGCAATTAGGGTTAGGGTTTGTTCTTAAGGTGGAGGCCTGATTATGTCATGTCCTGCCTCCACGAGGTCCAGTGGCTTTCCATGGCCCATGGGCTCAAATACATCAGGAAAGGAAGACTCATCAATGAAGGGCCAGTCCTTAGTGTGTGTGAAATATGTTCTGCCTGCTCTTTATCAACCCATATAGAGATCTGGTGAGCCTTCTTCCAGAAATCTATGAAGATGTGTAATGAAATAGCCTGTTTCCTATTTAAGAGCATGCACAAGTATAATTCAGCATAAAAGTCCTCTTTTTGGCATTTAAAACCCTTCATAATCTGCCTCTAGCCTATCTTTGTAAGCTAATTATATGACCCCTTCATACCAGCTGCATTCCAGCCAAACAGGCCTACCCTGATGTTTCTTATACATAACATTTATTTTTCATTTCCATAGCTTTGCACAGACCCTCCCCCCTACCTGGAATGCTCTCCCTCCTCATTCCCACTTTTAGACTCCTTAGTTCATTTCAAAGCTCAGTTAAAGTACTCTCTCTAACATAAGGTCATTCTTGATCCCTCCACCAAATAGTCCTTCCCCACCAAAATTGCTGTTATTCAAGTAGTATATACTTTGTATTACTTTACCTGTGAACACTTTGTATCTGCCCCCTCCCCCACCCAGTAGAATGTTTTCTTTGAAAGCAGGGGCAAATTTTTTGGCTTTGTATCCTTAGGGTTCAGCACAATTCTTAGCACATATTATGTGCTTAATTAAATAACTGGTTGGTAAGGGGAAAAAAGACAAAGGATAACTGTTTATTATCTCTACAATGAACCACCCACCAAAAAAAGAAATGGGCTTCAATTAGAAAAGCACATTCAGTTCAATGTAATAAAGAATTTATCATCAAAAGGTATACTTAATTTGATTCACTGAATAGCTATTGACTATCTGCTATGTGTCCAGTAACTGAATTTTCATCCCTAGAAATTTTTTAAAATAGAGGCCCTCGTATATTAAATATAAATATAACATTTTTCTTGTATAGTTTGGGTACTGTTTGTCTAAAAGCAGTGCTAGATGATTTCTTACGGTCTCTTCTAGCCAGATTAGTTTTCTCTGTTAGCTTTTCCATATAAGTCCAAGCATGGAAGCAGGAGAAGCAAACTCACAGCGACAGGTGGGTGCTGGGGAGTCCCACTCCAAGGAGGTTTTATTGCAGAAAAGCTCTTTCTTCCCTACTAGGTGGTAGCCCCTGATACAGATGTAAGTCACCAGAAACCTTTCCTCTGCAGTTGTTACTACAAGAATGCTATAGTTGACTGGAGGAGGATTGAGACAATGATCTGTGAGAGAGAAAGGGAAAACGCATCAGTCAAGATTCATTTTCTTCTGACGCAAGAAAGAGAGATGCCCTTCTTGGGCTTTTACATACCTCTGCAGCCTAGCTTCCCCCTTGATTGAGGTTTTAGATTCTGGTTCATACCTGCATCCATTCAATCTATTTCACCTCTACCCTCTGCCCTCTCTTCCATAATGGGTCTTCAAATCCAGAGCAATCTTCTACTTTCATGATTATTGAAAGAGCATCAATATTTTCACTGAACTCAGCATCAAGGTACTTTCAGCCTGGCTGAAATCAGCAGGTCATCCAGGAATTTGTAAGGTAGCATTTCAATCCCGCTCCCTTCCTTCCCTCCCCCACCCAGTCTCAAGGAAGGCAGATAAATGATCTGGAATTGCCTCTTCAGATAGTGCTATATAATATTTACTAAACTCCTACAATGTACTAGTTCTAGGTGTTCTGATGTTGCAAGGCAAGCAGCCTAAGGCAGGTCCTTCTATACTCAAATCTAGTCTAAGGTGTCCCATCAGTAGAGCTTGAGGAGAAATAAACTTACCAACTGAGGCAGGGAACAGCCACACAATCACAATGCAGGGCACAAGCCAAGGCTTCATCTGGTCCATTCAGGATTGGGATCCCAGCCAAGGCACCTGTTTTTAATAGAAACAAATATTCTGTTACTATAAGGGACAAGATCAGATCTCTGTTTTCCCCTGGGTCTACTAGAAGAAAACTCTAAAGATCACTTATGCCAAGAAAGAGGCCTGTTAAGAAGAAAAATGAGCAAATGCAAGAACCAAGATCTGAAGCAAAAGGTAGCCTTTGCAAAAATACGAAGGAATATGAAGGAAAATATGAAGCAGCCAAGTCCACTGAGGGGAAAAACAAAACCTAGTTTCTGGAAATACCTGGTTTCTGGGAATACCAAACCAATGGTTGACCATCACCTTTGTACTCCAGGCTTAGCCTCATTTCACAGACCTAGTCCTTGGGCCATGCTATTGACCTCTGTCAATATTTGCCAATAGTTGTGCTCTACCCATGCCTGATGAAAGGTCAGGACTAAAGAAGCTGAAGTTAACATGAGAGGGCAAAAAAGGGAAGGGTAGAGATGCTAAGTGTGTGCTACTTCTGTCTCTTTCCTGAGTGGTACCCTATAGATATTGCCTCCTGATCTTTCACCAGTTTTATCAGGGAGTTCATTTCTTGAGACCATAAACACCGCTGCCTTCTGGAAAGGCTGGATTCTTGCCCCCTCTACTGGAGAGAAGCATATCCTTTAGCAAGGGGACTGACCTAAGTTTGGTGGGAATCTGCAACCTCCCAGAAAAGGGTCATATCTTTGCATCCTGTTGATTCTTACTGGTTTTATTCCCAAAAGAGGAAGCAGGGAAGTTTAAAAAGAATAAGAGTTCCAAAATCCTACAATGAACTATTGTCCTGATCGTCCAAGACTGAGCTCAGATAGATTCTTCAGCAGAACTATTCTATAGTCCAGTTACAGACAACAAAACATCATTGGGAGGTGAGTGGAGAGAATAGTTTTAGGCTAGAACTGAAAACATGTGAAAGTTCTGGATAGAAAAGGAAATTCTGCCATAGCCTTAGGAATAGAAAGCCTGAGTGTTTTGGAAAGAGCTCTTAGTTTATAGAAATGCAACAGAGGGGTTATGGATTTTGCAAGGAAGGAGAAGAGGAATAAAATCTTTAAATTCAACAACTTCACATAAATAAGCATTTATTTATTCATTGTCTATCATGTACAAGGCCCTGTGCTGCAAGATGGGAACACATGGACAAAGACCGCATAAGTCACTGCCCTCATACACTTTACATTGTGGGAAGTGGTGATATAACATGTACAAAAGTAAGTAAATATAAAGTAATTCCAAATAATTTTATGAGGGATAGAATGACAATAACTGTGAGAATACAGAAAGTCCTCTTTAAGAAGATGGCACCTGCTCAGAGAAAATCTAAGGATTTTAAGGCAGAGGTAAAGAGAGAGTGCATTCCAGGGATGAGGTATTGCTGGTGAAACACAAGGAGGCAGTAGTTGGAATGTTGTGTGTAAATAGGAGGCCAGTTTAACTGGAACAGAGAATGCATAAAAGGGAGAAATATGAAATATTCCTAGAAATGGAAGTGGGGACCAGATGGTTAAGGGCACCTGGCAGAACAGAAGGTCAAATATCTCCAGGGAAATAGTATAAAAAAGTGGCAAGGAAAGGGATCTATCACTACCAAATATCAAGCTATTCTGTAAAGCAGGAATCAAAACTATTTGGTATTGGGCTAAAAGAGAGAAAAAGTGGAATAGATTAGGTAAACAAGACTTAGAAACAACTGAGCCTAGCGTTCAATGAACCGAGAGACTACAAAAACATAGCATGAAGACTCATTCTTTGACAATCCTGGGAAAACCAGAAAGCAGTTAGGCAGAAGTTAGATTTAGACTAACATCCCATGCCATATGTCACAAATAGTTTAAAATAGATACTGGCCTAAATACAAAAAGCCAAATTATAAACAAATTAGAAGAGAAGAGAACAAGAGACACTTTTTATAACCATGGATGGAGGAAAGTTTTTGACCAAACAAAATATAGAGATGATTGTAAAAGATAAAATGGACAATTTTCATTATGTAAAATCCAAAAACTATTACACAAGCCACATCAGTGCAGTTAGTATTAGAAGTAAAACTTACTGGAAAAGAATCTTTGCGGGAAATTTTTTTTACAAAGGTCTGATATTTAAAATATATGGTGAATATATATAAATATTATATACATATACATATATATGAATAAGAGTCATTCTCCAATAGTAAAAAGATAACAAGAAATTGTGAATGACCTAGCTTTTCTCAGCAATACAGTGATCCAAGACAATCCCAAGAGACTAATGATGAAAAATGCTATCAGCCTCCAAAGAAGGAACTGATGGCATCTGAATACAGACTGAAATATACTATTTTCTGCTTCCTTCTTTCCTTCCTCCCTCCTTTCCTTCTTTCCTCCTTCTTTCCTTCCTTTCTTTTTTGAGTTTTCTTCCACAGAATGACTAATATGAAAATATTTTACATGATTGTACATGTATAACCTATATCAGATTGTTTTTACTGTCTCAGGGAGTGGGGAGGGGAGGGAGAAAAAGATTGAATTTGGAATGCAAAACTTAAAAAACCCAAATATTAAAAATTGTTTTTACATGTAATGGAAGGGGAGGGACAAAATATTATTAGAACTTTAAAAAGATATCAAGAGATAGACATAAAAAAAAGAAATGCAAGCTATCAACAAACATATCAAAATGCTCCAAATCACTAATAATAAAAAAATGCAAATTAAAACAACTCTTATGTTATTAGGATGGGCAAAGAAGAAGGAAAAAAGGAAAATTATAATTGTTGAAAGAGGTATGGGATAACAGAAACACTAATGCATTGTTGGTAGAGCTGTGAATTGGTTCAACCATCATGGAAGGTAATTTGAAAGTGTACCCCAAAAGTCACTAAACTGTGTATACTCTTTGATCCAGTAATGCCACAACTAGACCTATACCTCAGAAAGGTCAGCGACATAAGGAAAGGGCCCTTAGGTACAAAAATATTTATAGCTGCCCTTTTTGTTACAGCAAAGAACTGGAATCAAAGTGGACATGAATCAATTGGGAGAATAATGCATGGTATATGAATATGATGGAATATTATTGTATCATAAGAAATGACAAAAGGGATAGTTTCAGAGAAAATTGGGAAGACTTATATGAACTGATGCAGAGTGAAGTGAGCAGAACCAAGAGAACAATTTATATAATGAATATAACAATGCAAATGAAAACAATTTGGAAAGAATGTGGAACTCTATTCAATGTAATGACCAATTATTACCCCAAAATATTGATGATGAATTATGTCTGCTACCTCTAAGAAGGTGATACTAAATATTACAGGTGCAGAATTAGACTTTTTATGGAAAGAATAAATATATGGATTTATTTTGCTTAACTGTACTTATTTGCTCCAAAGGATCTTTTTTTTTCCGATGAGAAGAGAAGAGCTGGACAGGGGGCAGGAGAGGGGAGGGAAGTGGATAAGTTTGATAGTGATGCCAAAAAAAAAAAAAAGGAAAGAAAACAGCATTAATGAAACATTTAAAAATGTTCAGAAGAACAGAACGAAATTCAAAATGTGACAGAGATATGGACAGTCCTGTTACTATTGTTTTAAATTTATTATACAGTTTTCAAAAACAGTACACAATAAAAGTTCAGTTTCACATATAATCATCTCTTTTTCTTTGTATATGGATATGTTCATGTTTATTGATGCCTGTTAAGTTCATAATATAAAAGAAATTATTTTACAAAGAATTTTGAGTGTAGGTGTGACCCAGTCAATTTTAAGCTTTGGGAATATCAATTTGGCAGCTGTGACTATTCTGCTCAAGATGTCAGAGTGAGTGGAAGACCATTCAGCTCTCTCACAGCTGCTTTCACGAGGGTAAAAAGCAAAAAGCATCAGACTGAGAAATGATCAAGAAATCCAAGGAGAAATTACAGAACATGCATTTTGCCAGTACAGATCTGTACAGAGAAATGTTCAGAAAACTGTGGGCAATTATTGACCGTATATTAGGGAATAAAAACACCACAAAGTGAAGAAAATCGGAAATATTACACATGTTTGTTCCAACCACAATGCAATAAGAATTATATTCTATGAATTACCTCTGAAGAAGGTTAAAAGTTAGTGGTATACTAAATCACCTAATCATAAAGAATAAATGATTCAAAGAATAAATCTTAGAAACAACAGAGAATTTCATCAAAGAAAATGATGATACAATATGATAAAATTTTTAGGGTTTATCCAAAGCAACTCTGAACAGAATATGTATTTTCTAAACAATTTCTTAAACAAAAAGAGAAAGAACAAATCATGAAATTGGGTGTACAACTTTTGTTAGAAGCCAGAAAACCAACAAATTAAGGAACATCAACTAAGAATCAAAGTACAAATTCTAATATTCAAAAAAGTTATTAGCAAAGTTGAAAACAAAATTCCTATTGAATTAATAAATAAAACTAGAAACTTTTAAAATAAACAAAATAAACAAACCATTAGTTAATATGTTTTTAAGAGAAAATATTTATAACAGTTCCTTTTATTGTAACAAAGAACTGAAAACTAAAGAGATGTCCATCAGTTGGGGAATGGCTAAACAAATTACTGTTTATTGGTGGAATAAAATATTAATGCATTGTAAGAAATGACAATAGAAATGGTTTCAAATTAGCCTATGAAGACGTGTGTGAACTCATGCAGAGTGAATTGAGCAGGACTACTAACAATAACATTTTAAAGAAAATCAGTTTTGAATAACCTAAGAAATCTGACTCCAACCAAGACTCCAAAGGGCTGAGGAGGAAGCACCTTCTGACAGAAGACTGATGGACTCAAAATGCAGAATGAGACATACATTTTGGACGTTGCAAATATAGAGATTTATTTTATTTGACTATGTTTTTTGTTATAATAATCATGTCTTTTTTAAATTTGAGGAGAGACAAGAGCTAGCAATAAGATTGATTTAAAAAGGAAGAAAAGACAAAAGGGGGTCATTGAAGCATTTTTAAAAAATATACAGAAGAGAACATAAGACTTTGGAGGGAAACACAGAGAAGCAGGACAGCTTTGAGAATAACATGAATTTATTATAAAGTGCATTTATTTACTATAAAGTGGGGCTATAGTAGCTTAAATAGCTTAAAACCACACTAAGACTTTTGGGATATCTGGTATACTTTTTTAAAAAAAGAAGCTGAATAAAACAGAGATACTTATTTTCATACATAATGTTCTTTTTCTGTTCTGCTCTGTATATGGAATTATTCTTTTGTCATATTGTTTCTTCAATTCA